TAATGACAGATCTAAATCATGAGTTTGTGTTTCTGAGAGAAAAAAAGAGGACAGATTCTCAGGCTGTGAAAGATGGTTTTGAACATTTCTTCGATGATGATGTCGAAAACATTATTACTGAAGCCATGTCAGGCGCAATTATTGATATGGAGGAATTGGGGATTTCAGTTATTGAAAATGCTGTTAACATCTTGTCAATTCCTTTAAAAAATATAGAGGAAAATGTGATAGATCTCCATGAAAATTACTCAGAAAATGAAGACAATGACAATATAATAGATAAAAGACTAGACAATGGAATGCTAGAGAATACTGAAACCTCGACGGAAAGAGTCGTAAATGAATTAGAGATGGAATATGAAAAAAAAAAAAATACTGCCATTGAAGTAATACGAGCAGATAGGCAATATTTTAAATTCCGGGTCCTTTGGAGTACAACTTGAATTGAATGATTTTTCCGAGGATACGTGAAACCGCAGAAAAATTTTTCATCGAAAGACAGTTCATTTTTACCGGTTACCTTGAACGATAGTATGTTATTAAAAAATCTTCACTGTGTTGGATGCTTGACGAAAAGGTTGGCAGAATAAGCACTGACCGGTTGAGAAGATTTATCAGTAACACAAAGGCGACAACTCCATCTTCAAATATCAGACCGACAAAGAGGCCTTCTAAGGTTCCTAACAAACCGAGTAACAAACGCAAGACCCGACTGAACAGCAAACGTGCCAAGGCCAAAAAGTTTAAATTTCGGGTCAAATTTGAATCCAAAACCCGAGCCAAAACCCAAGCAATCTCTAAAAATCTGACACACCGTCATCAAGCGACTAGAGTAATAATAATTCTGGTCAACTTTGTGATGATAACAGCATGGACGACATTGATGGTGATAATTTGGATATTAACCAAGACATTAACTTCAATAATGAAAGCAGTGAAGTGTATGTCAAGACGTTGGGCAATCAGAGACTTTTTAACGATGTACTCATTGCGGGAAGTGGGCACATAGTCAGTGCACGGATGCAGACTCACCTACAAATTTTGTTTGTGATTTTTGCGTTTAAGAGCAGAATTCATATTACTCGATAATAAATGTTAACGTTTCGTGTTCTGTTTTTAGTTTACTTTCATGTCCCCAAAAAATCAGTTTTTGCTTCTCCATAATATTTAAACAGAAACTAAAGGATAATCATTAGGGGAATTATATAGAAATCAGAGGAAATCTTGGGCAATCTTACGGGTAATCTGCAGAAATCAGAGGAAATCATCTATGATTTCCCCTAAAACTGTAATCTGGTATACAAAAACTGACCTGCGGTCTACCCCTCGAAAAGAACATTATTTCACTTTAACCCGTTTGTAGGTACATTCAGTGTTGCCAAAGACCCCGTTCGGGGTAGATCTACCCCTTTTGAAAACAATCTCGCCCTTCCGCTCCCCTCAACTAAATCTACCCCGCTCTTAATACAATCTATGCTTTAACACAAAAAGAATGCTTTTGCTTATCGCTAATTAAAAATACTTACAAAATCCAAATTATGAGAAACAATTTATTTTATCTGAACTATACCTATGCAGCGAGTTTTTTGTCTACGCCTCAGATATAACTTCAGTTAGAGATTCCTTTGAGTGTCTCCTTTAAATTTGTGTGGTCATTGATGCAGAAAAATATGTAAAAAAAATATAGTTATTCACCTAACAACGTCAAAAACGCATGTGTTATAAAATTTTAGCTATATCATTAGCAAAGCAGTCTGCTTTACCGCACACTACGCAGTGAAGTAAATACCGCACACTTTGCAGGTTATTTTAAAGCAGACTATGCGGTAAAGTAACTTTACCGCATAGTGTGCGGTAAAATGCTAGTTTTTCCACGCTCGTAGGTGAAATTTTTGTTGCTACCCCGCACTGATTCTGTTCTACCCCGCTATCTTGCCGTAATCTGCCCCAATAAAGAAAGAGCTTGTGGCAACACTGGGTACATTGCAGTAAGAGGTCAATAAAATTCAAAGGAAGAGAAATTATCTCGGATTTCAAGTCCAATTTGTTATACAAAATCAATTGGTCATAGTGGAAGTTGAAAATATAAATGAATAAACATAAAGACGCATGTGATAAAAAAACACACGGATATGAAGGGAGATAAACTGCTTTGGTTCTCACCATTTTTATAACAAATACTCAGTACTTTTGATCTTGAAAACAATAATAATTATTCAATTTAACATATAATTAAATAGCTAAACAAGTCAATTCAGTATCGTCCAATTTCCAAAACTAGGTACAACTTTCGAAAAAAAAAAAAAAAAAATTGTACGATAGGTGGGGTAGGTACATCTCATCGGGAAGTGGCTACCCTCTTTAGCAAACGCCATCCTGGAAGAAATACAAATTTCACACTCAACTGTAACCAGAATCATATCAAAATTTTAATTAACTGGATCAGTGGAAAACACATTTAAAAAACCACTGGCCAAAATGGTATTTTGAAAAAGATAATCTCAATGTCTGTTTTAAGTGTTGTGAAAAAAACTAGCATTAGACATAAGTTTCTAAGCGGACTGTTGTTGAAGGAGAAACTTTAGGGAGAATATCACATCAAAATGAATTTAGATCACTTATACCAGAATTTATAAAAAACTTAAAGAAATTGTGACATTCCAGTTTTATGATAGATTTTCAATACCAGTAAAATGTATCGGTGTGGTGGTTTAGAAGAATAGAGTGATAGGGACAGGAGAAATATAATTTCTCAAGTAATCTTGCGAAGAAATGAGCCAACTTTTGAATAATCTGCCTCTCCTCCTCATGAAGAATAAATTGTGAAACCAGTGTAACGGTGCTTCAATTCATAGCAGTAGTGAGGGGACATCTCTTCTTACGGATTTAATTAGGTATAAAGTGATTAGGCGTGATATGGAGCAGCATTGGCCACCTAGGTCCTCTGACTGGACTCTACTAGATTTTTTCTTATGGGGACACTTGAAAGAAAGACCCTGTCGGGATTTCTATCATGTGCCTCAAATATTTCTCTCAGTTTTCTGAGGAACACCATCATGGATCCATTATCGATTGATTAATTATTGTCAGTATTGGATTTTTATCATGTCTGTGTTGATTTTCCGTTTTTGTTATCAAATTTCTCATTTTAGTTCATTGAACTATGATATTTATTGGATAATCTTATTCTGAATTATTTTTTAACGTTAACCATTTCACATTATAAAAGAATCCTAAAAAGTTTATTTGTCTACATTTTTTGAAAGTAGATGCAAAGCAACCATTATATTTTCGTCAGCTTAATTTATAAAAATTAACGGCCATAAATATTTCATTCTGTTCTGTGTTAGCTTTTGATCCCATCCAAGCAATAACTTGTGAAAACCATTGAAAAAACCATCACGTGCAAGAAAAAATGGTCTTAAAACGTATACTTGGACCGGTCTCTGTCTTACATAGGTATAACATACAATGATATAACTAACGCCATACATGCATAACGCACTACAGTGATAATTCCCAATAAAAAGGGATGATTTAACGCATCGCACCGCTTTATCAACTATTACAAGAAAATAAAAAATCCAAGGCCGTATTGGAAAAAATAAAGTTGATGATGGTGGCGAAGACACAACATCGGAATATTGAATTTGACAAACCCATCTTGTAGGGAAGGAAAATTGTCAACGATGGAGGGACATATCATTGTGATGTGTTAAACAAAGATGGATTTAAGGCGCTAGTCATGTGTAAGACAGAGATAGGTCTATGGATAATTTCAAGGCGAATTTTTCGTGGACCTGATTATTTTTCAATGGTTTTCACAACTATGATTATGGTCGCTCAAAGACGAAACGTCGGATTTTAACTTAGACAATGCTATTTTGTAGAGGAGGAAAAGTGGCAATAAAGATCAATTTTTTTTTTAAATATCACTTCATTTCAATAAGTTCAAGAAAAAATAAAATCGATTTTGCAAAATTTTGGTTATTTCTGGACCCAACCGACCCTATATCTCTAACCATTTCCGAAATCTCAATGATGTGGCTCAAACTTGAAACACCCTAGGATATTGTCGTAACTGATGCAAAATTCTATGGATAGATAACCTATAGTCCACGGAGGAAACACTATCAAATATTTTATTATGTAGAGGAGGATGGTACAGGGCACCCAAATTCAACACTCCATAGCCATCATAGGTCATTTGAAAAACGTAAAAGAATTTTTTTTTAATTTGAAGCTAGAACACCGGAAGAATATCATGTTAAATAAATTGGAATAAAATTGAATTTTTGCCTAGTTGCAATAAAATTTAAACCAAGTCCATAAAATTTTGCATCTGATTTGAGAGTTTCAACTTCAATCAAGTCCTTGAGCGCATAAAAATATAGTGGAGGAAGACTTTGAGATGTCTTCTCCACTTTTTTCGCCCATTTGAAAAAAAAAAACTTGTAAATATTTTTTGGCAAGTTAAAATAACTTTATCGTAATTAAAATTCAGCTAAGGTTATTTTAACTGACAATATACAGCTTTAAATACGAAAATAAATGAGTAGTGGTAGATTGTTTCATAGTTTTGAAATTAAAAATGCTATGAATTTCTGGAATATCGAAAAAGCATTATGACATATGATATCAATTGTAGAAAAAAACGTAATTATTCATATCTTGAAAGGAAAACTACCTTTAATAGGCATCCGACTTTACGATAGTCCTGTCCACAGCTATTTTCAGGCTATCCAGAGAGTAATTTACCGTTGATGATTTGTTTAAAACATTGATTTCCAATTTGAAAATTTTATTTGTGAAAAATAAATTCATGATTTGCAATGAAGACAAAAATCGACGAGCAAAAGTATATTGATCAATAATTTCAAAATACTTCATGTGAATTTTCCGAAAATGAGAAAGCCGTATGGATGTAATTAAATAATATAAATCGAAAATTTACTTTTTTTTATGATAAACTGCCGATCTTAACTATTTCAAGAGGTAAGCGGATCCAGAGGGTTCTCTCTATTAAATTAATCTGATTTCGTGTCCAGAATATGGTGCCATTAAACCATCGGATTGGAATTTAATGAATCTTATTTATAAATAAAGCTTTTATATGTTCACTGCTGAAAAATCCTTGGTTCTAATAGAGGTTAAGATGATGGAATAAATTAAATATGGCGGACCGAACATTTATCGTGTTAAGAGCGCTTGAAAAAAAAAAAACAAATATTAAAAAGATGCCCTAAGGAGGGTAAATAAAATAATAAAGATCGTTTTTTTTTTTGCGGCAATACTGAACACGGCTCTGACACCGCGAAAGGTTCGGAGTCAATCAGCGACCATCGCAGCTGTGGTTCTTTCTTAAGTTAATACGAAGAACCCATGGAACGGTAAGACCCATTGGTGCGCACGCCGCCATATACCTGCGATCGGGTTTGAATCGTAACCTAACAGTCAGTAGAGTATTAGTTCGAAACACCTGTAGACGCTAGTATGTGATTGAATAATAAATCCTGGTCAAGTAATTAAGTAAATGCATGTTGCCACAGCAGGAGAGCATGCATCTCTCTCAAATCCGGGCAGTGAGTCTGTGCACCAAAATTAAGACTAAGTCCGCGTCGCGTAGTGTCGCTTCCATATCTTTGCAACCCTTTCCCTTGTGAAACGGCTTGAGCGAACAAAGGGGATTGATACGCAACACTACAGAGGCTGCAATCGTAGGTAAAAAATCACACACGCATTTTTAATGTATTGAAACCCATTTTTTTAACATTATACGCACTTGCACTAAGCACACTATTGAAATTCCGAGACACTTTTTCACTACGGAAAAATAACAACAATCATCTCTGTACTGCTATTACGTGGACCGCTGGCTTACTTATATTGCTCACTCGCGCCTAGTTGTTTTCTTCAATGTTGAATGACTACAATAATACCTGTTATCCCAGGTTGGCAGACCTGTTCATCAACAACTATTGCTTACTCAATCTTGAATGGCAACTTGCCCCTGCCGGTACATTCAACTATTTTAGGTCTTCGAATATTATTCTCTGCTCTTTTAGGTTGTAGAAACAATAATAATTATCTTATTAGTAATTAATAATAATGATAATAATAAATACGTACCTATATAGAAAAAACTTTCCCCCAGGTACATAGGCCAAAAAAAAAAAAAAAAATAAGCCAAGGCATGTTCCTATAATTAAAATAAGCAATTATTTTGGATGTTGCTAGCGGGAGAATAATTAATGACGTTAAAATAGTATAAACATTTTTGCCTCGAGAAATAATAAAATAATGTGTATGTGTATGGTGCGCAGGCTCTTTGACTTTACCCAGGCAGAGTAGCTTTATAAAATATAACCTAAAATTTGTTTAATTTAATGCATGTATGCTTATAGTTTTTAATTAAAATACTAAAAGATTTATTGTTGTATTTTTGAAAATTGCATCTTAATTATGACTTGACTATTTAGCATACAAGCAGGTATAAAAATGACGCCGTAATTCATTAAATTAATATAAATCAGTAATTGTGTTTTATGTCAAAATAAAAAATTAATGATTTTGATGGTTAATGAATTCAAAGCCACCAACACCAACTCAGTTTTTACAAAATGTACCTAATTAAATTTGTAAATTTAAACGAGTTATAATTGATTTTGTGAAACCATGTTCGAAATTAAAAAATTTCCACTACTAATTCCTTCTCAATATTTGGGTATAATCAAGGTTGTATTGGTGTACGCCCTATGAACATTTGTAGGCAAACCTTTGGATACTGCCATTTCATTATTTTCCATTATTTTTATTTCCAACGAAAATGTTTTTTTTTCAACAATTCAGGAACAAAACTACCATCCGATGAGAAAAATTATCGTACTTTCTCTGGTCAATAGCTTAGCAATACCTACCTATGTGTTTTGTTGGAGGATCTGGAAACTATGCTTTGGATATTTTTAGCAAATTAAACAAGTTTCACCTTATATTTGATAATCCAAGACTTGAAAATCAACTACATTTATTTACAAATAGGCAAAAAGGCTACTCAGATTGATTCAATAATAATTGTTCTTCACCGATATTCTCACAAAATGGTAGTCTTCTATTCCTATATATACCGAGACCCTTATCGTAAGTCAACTTTAAATTAGCATTCAACGTATTGAATTCGATACCATCTACTTGAAATAACGCATCACTCCCAGATGTCTGTATATAGCATCATACATGCATTAATCACAAGATTATAGGTTGTGAACATTAGTTCACTACTGTTGTCTTAGCATCTGGTTGGTGCAATGGTGCACCTGATTTTAGTGATTTTTTCAAATATTAATACTCCTTTGCATTTTATTTTGCAGTAGCTCTATGAAACGAGAAATTATATGTCAATTTTATTTTCTACACCAGGTCTTCATGATGTATGTATGTGCCTTAAAATATTGGACTTGTTTCGAAAGAACAAAAATTGTTTCACGTAAATAATTGTCCTTCTGAAACTCATAGACCAAAAAGCTGAAGTTATGAATCTCTAAATTTAAATTGAATATAAAAAGGCGACTAGCTCTAACAAACAAGGGAAAAAGTGGAGCTCTAAGAGTGAAACGCGCCTCTCAAAAACCCCGAGTCACTTCGCAGGCTAAAATGAACGTGGCTACGGAGTGACTTGCTGTTCAAAGGGAACAATTGCATTTGGGTTAATCCGAGCATCTAATGTTTGTAAAGGGATAATACTTTCAATGGAAGCGATTTTAAGTGGATCTACGTAGGGTAGCTAGGAAGGAGCTTGCTCTTAAAACGAAATAAGTAGTCATCGACATAAGTTTTCAAAATGAAAATATTTATCATGTCCGGATATTCCTCTTGTCTGCGACTAGACTTTGCTATTATTACCATTAGATAGGCAGTGTAGGTACACGAGCGGTATTTTTGGAATTGGATTTATTTTATCATCACACACTCTGTGCGTAAAATTGAACTTACATAGATCGGATGCTTTTTATTCAATATGAAGTCATGGTATTATCCTTTTTGAAATACGAAAATAAAATGCGAAGTCCATCTAGGGATGTTGCGGTTGCTTATCTGAAAACTGAAAAAAAAGAGAGTTAAGCATTATGTTCACTATCTATTCGTTGAAATCTCGATTGAAATACTTGATTTTATACTTTGCCAAATTTCAGTTACTTATTCATTATGACTTTTATTGTTTTTTTTTTCATTGATTTACACAAATTTGATCATCCTTTTTATCAACATAGGTATACAGGGTGTCACCTAAGGTCGGCGAGGTACGATGTTATGGAAACTATAAACATGCGTCGTGTACTTCGCCCCTTTGGGATACATACGGTTATTTGCAAGGCTATAACTTAATAAGAGATATTCAATCTAGGTGGAGCTTTGAATGTGACTCTACTGATTGGCCTTATTGGCGTTATTTGCACTTTATTCGTTTGAGACGTTGTCTAACATAACTTAATTTCTTGTCGGTTTTTTGCGTTTTTGATTGGTGGAGATTCTGGAGGGTGTTTGGGCGTTTGAGTCTTAAGAGAAGAAACTTATATTTTCTATAATGAATTAACGACAACTTCAATGTTCCACAATATCATGTTAACGTACTAAATTTGGTTTCTAGATTTCAAAAAAATTATTAAAAAATCACTAAATCTCGCCATTAAACGATGCGGTTTCGCGGTTACCAAAGTCGCAACTTCCTTATCGACTCGGTCATTAAATGATAAACAAAGAACTATTGTTCGGCTCTCGTCAACAAAATTTTTGGGAGGCGTGAGCTCAGTTTCTAAGGGAGTAATAACATAGCAAATATTTTTTCCTTGATGAAAGCCTATTGCTTAGAAACATTTCTTCCAGAAGAGCTCGCATTTATGTTCTGATAATTAAATACCTTTTTTAAGAGACGTCCAAATGCTGTACTGGCACACTTTAATCGGTAATGAAATTCTGCGTCAATATTTGCATGTGTGGAAAGATGTATGCGAAATATTCTATATTTTCTAGAGGCGCTATTGAAAATTACAGCTACACCTGATGCATTGATATTTGGGACGGGCTGGTATATAGGTTTCTGTCGTATGCGTGTTTATTTCTAGACCAATACTTTCGCATGCTGGCTCAAATGCATTTAGAGTAGTTTGTTGTTTTTCCGACTTCTTCCTCGGCACTTGCCGAGACAGTGTTATCACCAGAATATTGAAGAAGAATTATATCTCTGTACACTTTCATGTCACCTTGGATGTTGCCATGTTGTTTCGAGCTAATTTATTTGACCGAATAGAGTATTTGCGATGAAAAAGATTGTGCACTGGGCATTTGTTCAGTAGGATTTCCTTTAAGTTACTATTGCCTATACCCTCCTTATCAATGGTTCTTCTCCATAGATCTCCTCTTTGAGGGCATCCTCTGCCTTTATGATTGTTTCTCGTAAAGTGGCTATCATTGTCGTGTTCTTTAGGCTAGTTTGCATCTATTTGCATAGTGCTGTTGGAGCTCTTCCTCTCACCAGTGCGCTTATGATAAAGTCTGTTGATGCATGATTGATTGTCCTAGCCTAGGTCGTCCATAGCTTGGTCTATCCATTTTCCTGGTTGAGCATAAAAGATTGGTCTATACGACTTCGGTGCACGGTATAGAGAATTCTGCCTACTTTTGGCAGACCCTTACCTGTTGCCATAAGTTTAGTACAAAGCCCCAGGCTAGAAACGCGCATCAAAATATTCTGTATAGGTGTGGTAATAGACTATCCTGGCATATATCTTCGCAGCAGTATGGGGTGTATTGCGTCTAGGCCCGGTGATTTGAATGGTTGAAATTGGACAAATTGGTTGATCACCCATCTGACTTTTGCAGGTGTTACTACTTCTTTTACTTTTTTCACGCTCTTGTGTCCCTGGCCTTGATTAGACGGTAGGTTAGATGTGTCTATTATTTGCACCGCTATGGGAAAGTGTGCTTTCATGAGCAGAGTTAAGCTTTTCCCATCTGTTTCTATATATGTATTGACATCCTTTTCAAGGAACTTGACATAAGTGGTTTTGTTTTGCTAGGACTTTGTGGATTCTCGCGCATGCATGGGTCTCGCTTACCCTTTTGCAGAACCTTCTTCCCGAACCCTGTTGAGCTTTTCGTATCTCTTTATAATGTTAGCTTCAACCTTTGAAGATCCTAGTTTGCTTTGGCTTTATTGAATAGCCTTCTGACGGTTTCTCTCAGCTTTCCGGGTTTGCCGTTCCATACCAGACTGTATTTCCTATTTGTTTTCAGGTTTTTTCTCCACAATTCTCAACGCTTTGTTTAACAGTTCTACAATTTCTTCTAAGATTCCTAACGTCCCGAATCTTGTAGACCTACTTCAAGGGATCTTGAATATCCTACCCAGTTTGTGTCTCGAAGATTTTCAAACAGTATATCGCTGGGGATTTCAATGTCAAACCCAATGGGTATGCATATGATCAGAGCACGATGGCTCATCCGACACTTTCCAGTTAGGGATCGTATCGATTGCCCTGTCAGAACTTAAAGTCACATCAAGGACAAGTATCAACCGTTTAGGCAAATCTATAATAAAATTTGCACGATATATTTTTCATAAATTAATGTCTGAAGACTGCGGAGGGGGTTTTAACTCCCAAAACCCAGCTTTACTTATGGCCACTGATTTGTTATGTTCAGTCTTTCGTTGAACCTACTCAAAA